ATGAGCCTCCTTTCAAGAGGCGCATATGCAATTAACATTCAAATTTGTAATGCAGGACGAGTGTGACCTTGTGATTTCTGAACCAGCTGGATTGTTTCTGAACAATTAAAATTGTGAAGAGGATCTTTGTGTCCTAGGACATGCTTGTTGATGCTCCCATTAAGACCTCTGTGACATATTTCACCATTTGTCTTGGGGAAGAATTTTAAATTTCACCAAGAAATTATGTTCTTTGATTTTGCCCGTGACACAAATTGAACCCCATTAAACCTTACGCCTCACTGATGTCATATAGAGATAACTGCTATCACTGCCTTAAGGCATGATGGGATGGTTATGCACATGATTACCTCATTCTGGTGGAGATATTGCTGTGTTTCCTGCGTCTTGTGAAGCTTATGAATTATAGCACTCTAGAGAATACAAGATTTCATGTGAAACTCTAATTTAACACAATTTGTGGCTCATTAAGTGGAAAGAAGACAGTCAAAGGTGGTTAGAAAACATAACTACATTCATTGACCATAACATCAGCCAGGACAGCAAGGAACCTATCTTTCAAATATCAAAAAGAGAAATATGCTGAAAATTATTTAAGCAGAATTAGGCCTTGTGGACTGAAATGAAATGGCCCTGCTAATACAATTGTTTTTTTATCTGATAGATTGCCGAAGATACAATCAAGTTCTCCCCCACTGAGTGCTTCAGTGTGTATTAAAGCAAAGCCAACAAGAAAAGAATAAACATTTAAGAGCTCCTGCATTTCTGAGACCCTTGGGATTTATCAGATTTATCATGCTTCTGCACAACCATCTGGAGGAGAGGAAGAGAGGATGTTCAAGAAGAACTTGTGCTGAAAACGGACCACAGCTTCATGCAGATACATCCTGCCATGGATACACATCATTTCAAGGAAATCTACATTTTTCAAATGAAAAATGATAAGTATTGTATCATGATTATGTCTTGACCTGATAAGTATTATATCTTTTTTAATTCATATACCCCTCACTAAGAAGCACTCCACTGAACCTGCTCAACATTACAAGATTATTTCTGTTCCGTCAACAAGACAGTATAGACATGCAGCCACCTCTATGCAAAAAGCAACGTGCGTCAATCAAAATCAGCAAGTAACAGGCAGAGAAGATTTTACAACAAATGTTATTAATGCAGCACTCAAAATGTTATTTTATTGGCACAAAGGAAACAGCTGACAAATAGCATATACAGTAGTAATATAAATAATACATATGAATACTTGCTATATATTTGTACACATATTCTATTTTTATATCTCTATATTATATTATATAAGCAGACTGTGAGACTGACAGGTGGATTTCAGATGAATGGGTGTAGATCTTATCTTCAGTGCCTAACAGAATTTGATGTCAGTTCATCTCAATCCTCAACTAACAAAGTTGCTGTGTTACTCTAATTTGCATTTAATTGAGGGTTAATGCTACTGTTCCTCTGGACAGAAGTTTTGTCTGCAGGCAAATTCTCACATGCAAAGGTCTTGTCTGGAAATTATTATACTTAGATTGCGCAATACATCAACCCGTATGTCTTTTGTGCCACACCTGTGACAACTTCCACCATGTGAGGACTGTAAAGACCACTTGGCCATGGGAGCGATAATGATTACAACTGAAAAATAGCAGCATTCTCAATTCAGTTGAACTGATTTTTTTTTAAATAAAATGCTATCATTCATTTTATCATTCATGCTTCCATCTAGAATTAACAAATGCATGAACTTTGTTTTGAATTCTATTGACTCCCTTGTTTTTTGGAAATTATATGAAAGCAACTGAATATATATATATATATATATAGAAACAAGAGACCAAAAAATGCAGATGAGCTGAAGGCCACTGTCAACGAAACCTGGGCTTCCATACCACCTCAGCAGTGCCACAAACTGATCACCTCCATGCCACGCCGAATTGAGGCAGTAATTAAAGCAAAAGGAGCCCCTACCAAGTATTGAGTACATGTAAAGTAAATGAACATACTTTCCAGAAGGCCAACAATTCACTAAAAATGTTTTTTTTATTGGTCTTATGAAGTATTCTAATTTGTTGAGATTGTGAATTGGTGGGTTTTTGTTAAATGTGAGCCAGAATCATCACAATTAAAAGAACCAAAGACTTAAACTACTTCAGTCTGTGTGCATTTAATTTATTTAATACACGAGTTTCACAATTTGAGTTGAATTACTGAAATAAATGAACTTTTCCACGACATTCTAATTTATTGAGATGCACCTGTATATATAAAACTTTTAACGCAATGGTATGCAGCTCTAAGGATGTTAAAAAGAAGGATTTTTTTAATCAAACTTTATTTTATTGTACTTTAATTTCCTTTGTTCTCAAGTAAAATGACTCCACCGCATGGGGGATTTGACAAAATGTGTGTCCATGGAGTCTTTAGCCTTTGAAGCATCCTTTGTGAGCTGTGAGGCAGAGAGAGAGAGAGAAAACAAATTCACTACTATATATCTTCTGTGTTTCCTACTCAAACGCTTATTTAAAAAATGATAAACATGTTACGAATTATCATAAGAGTTATATCACAGGAAAGTGTGTATTAGAGGAAGAAACACTGTGGTGAGATTCATTCAGTTCAGCCTGTAGTATTAACTTGGATCGACAAGAGAAGACTTCACTGCACTGCACTGAAAGCATGTGTGTGTTTGTCCTGTCGTAGCTGTAAGTCCCTACTCAGACCGTGCCCTAATCAACTTAGTATCACAACACCACTCAATTATTCACATCTCTTTCTGCGTAGTGTGTCTAGCCATCAGAGTGAACAAATCATTTCACATGTTCAGCCCTGTCTACATGAGTAGATGAGATCAAACAACAACTGGGAACAGAGCTGGGCAGAGCAAATTAATAATATAATGAACCATCTTGTCTTTTCTAAACGCTCCCCATCACATCAGGTGGCTTTGTTACAATGAACAAATGTTCTGACACTGTTCTTCTGTTCTGAAGCTGACTACATCTTTATTTTTTTTGATTGAAGTGATTGTTGGTTCATTGATATGATAATAAAATGTTGATAAAATGATCAAAATGTCTATCCATTACTTTATAATAGACCATGAATATAATCAGTTTTGCCTTGTTTGCAAATGGAAAACGGGTCATGTGCCTTTTGTATCCCTTATTAAGATATGCATGAATTTAACAATAATTAACTGACACACATAACTGTTTTGTGTTATTACAGTGATTTCTCATTAAATAAGCACACATTTTTTCACATATATATATATTTTTTAATATTTGTGATATAACCGTTTCTTGTTACTCCTATCCCCTTCCCTTTGTTTCCAATTTCTCTCTCCCTTTATTAAGAAAGATTCACATTTTAATTAAAATGAAAATAAAGACCATGGAGTATGGAGCAGTATTTTGTTTATCTTCTTTATTTTAAAGACTTGAAGTTGTGTTCCCTTGTTATGGATTAATCTGGTTCCCAAATCTGTTTTACAGTGTTTCTATCCTAAAAAAAAATCATAATAGCATAATTCTCTTATAATTAATAATTCTCTGCCATGATTTTGTACTGTAAACAACTGATTATTGACAAATTGATATTTTTAGAAATATAAAAACTGTCAACCTCTTTCTTTTAGCTAGCTATACCATAATTTAATAATCATTTAATAACGTATTCTTCTTATTAATTATTCATATTATTAATTTTGAAATGACACGATGTAGTTTATTAAGACAAAAAATGTATTAAAGCTAAAGGATGCATTCTTTGTCTGATATTTAAAATGTCTAATGTAAAATCTGAAAGAAAAACATATTTTCTCACAACAGCAACGTCAGGCAGTGAATTCAGGGTTGGACACTCAGTTGGTCTACAGCAGGTGGCAGCACATGCCTAATGCAAACCTACCTAAAACATCGCTAATTATGAGGACATAAAACAAAACCTCCATTACAATTTCCCCCTCAAGCGCTTAACATATTGCCAGAGTCAACATTTGTATCAGCCCATACGCCACAGTAACATACACGAAAATTAGGAATGCAAATAAAGGCGTAATGCTCTTGACAACCTGTTAAGCATTGTTTAAACGTTAGCTTTGAGCGTTTATAAGTTAACTCATTAGCAAGCAGTTTGCCTTTTTCTACCCACTTACTAGTAAAGTAGCCTAGTGGCTTATGCATATTTAAGTTTATTCAGCGAAGCCTCGGTTTCACCAATCAGATCTTAGCGCTCCAAACTTCCCACCAATCAGAGAAGCTGCTGTAACTTTCACGGGCAGCTCGCGCCTGTCGCTCTGCTTTGATCCGCTGTCTGTCTGTAGGTGGTGAAGCCTCGATGGGGACACTTTTGTTTTTATGCTAATATTTTCTTTCACAAACTGCGGCTCTTTTGTCAACGCTCAGGTTTATATCGGAGGGAATCATGACCACATTTATCTCTGGTTGAGGAAGCTGCCGTGTTCCTGAAGAGCCTCTTGAGATCGTCTAAGCCTCTGCTATGAGTTGTTTGGATGTTATGTATCATCAGAGTTATGGAGCTCATCACTACCTGCCCGCGACATCAGCAGCAGCGGCTTACAAAGCGGCATATCACCAGCACCAGCACCAGCAGCAGCAGCAGGTAGGTCATGTATTCGGGCTGACACAGACAACTGATGAAGAGTTAGAAAAAGAAAGTTCGGCTTAAGACATTGTTGCTGAGATGGTTTAAAAGCGCTCTCTGGAGCCGAGCATCAGCTGTAAAAATGTTACATTCGTGGTCATTATGTGTTAATTATTTGATAAGTAGACATTCATTTTCAATATTTCAATTAAATATTTAAAATGTCTACTTGTTACAAAGCAAAACTAAAAATAATAAAAATAAAAATACACTTTATTTAATGGAGTTGGAGTTGCAGTCAACAAGTGTCTAAAAACATCTACACTCTAAAAAGTCAAAACATCCCAATTGCTGGGTTTGTCCCTATTTTACCCAGCATTTTTTAGTGTGCAGGATGCAGTTCATGAAGCATATTTTTCCTTTGACATTTTAGTCATTCCCAAACTTCCATTTATAGATTTATAGCTACTCTAAAAACTGTAAAATAATAATAATGATATGAGAAGGTGTCTCCGGACTGATTTATTATCTAAATGCTACTGTTATCAAATAAAACCGCATGACATCCGATATAGAATTCTTCAAATTCCAAGCTGTGAATTACAGCTCAATGTGTTTATACAGTCTCTCGTACGGAAATCTTCTTGGGAGTAAATCGGCATACTACTAATGTGCCAAGTGTGGGCACTGGGCCATCAATTCAGAGAAAATCCTCGACAATCTGTTTTAGTCGAAGACCAGGTGGTGAATGTGTGCTCCATCTATTAACCCCTGACCAGTTATTCTTCATATTTAGCACTATCTGTGTCTTTCAGCAGAAGAAGTTCAGTGCCTACAGCAGGATGCAGGATTCTGGGGAGTTTCCCTCTGACTGTGGCCAGAGTAAGCAGTCTGGAGCGCTGAAGCCACGTCCTGAGCCTGAGCTTCCACGAGAGGAGGAGCAGAGCGCTGGCGAAGAGGAGCGCTGCAAGGAGACGCAGCCCACCGAGGCCGAGTACGTGAGTGCCAGGTGTGTGGTGTTCACCTATTTCCGTGGAGACATCGGGGATGTGGTGGACGAGCATTTCTCACGTGCGTTGAGCCAGCCCAGCGCCTTCAGCAATGATGCCAAGACCGGCAGATTTCACTCTGGAGGACCATGGAAAGGTAGAAGACAGTGTTTTATGGCAATCTACAATATTTGTAATCCTAAAGTTAACTACAGTAATAGTGCTAATAAATAAATATAGTTTATTTGCATTAAAAATGAATCATTTTATACCCTTGTTCATTATTAACCCTTGTATTACATTAAAAATCTGTGTGTCAAATTGGCCCTAATTGAATTCAATTTAATTCACCAAAAATCATTAACATTAATAGTTCTCACACATTACAAAAAACACACACACACACACACACACACACACAAACATATGAATTATTTACCTATTATTTTTGTAACTTTTTTTTTCACAAATGGTACATTTTATAAACAGCATTGTAACTATTGCAAACTTTTTTTTATTTTTTATATATATATTTTTTTTAAACAAAAAGTGTGATAAAATACCTTGTTCTGTGTGATTTCCTGAAGCTCAAACAGTAAGATTATGACACTAGCTAAGCCAAGATCATGGGTTCAATTCCTATCAAAATTGTGCACCAAAAACATCAACGCAGTGTACATTTCTTTGTATAAAAGCATCTTCCAAATGCGTAAAGGTAAATAACCTTAGAGGGTAGTTGGAAAACTAACATAACAAAATACATAATTTTTTTTCTGCCTTTAATGAAATTTGCGGGTCAAATTGACCCTAAAACGAACACCATAATCATGACAGAAATTTTGTATGCATATTCCACAACACATCAGGTTGTCGAAACTTTGTTCATGAATGTAAAACAGAAAAGTGACAAAATATCAAAAGAAAATTGGTTAAACTGTATTATTGGACATGATAGTTCCAGTCCTGGCTTCTGATTGGTCAATTCAGCTTCGCTTCTTAAGCTAAACATATTCTGTGTTTGCAAACTTTTTTATCAGCATCAAGATTTTATGTTTAAGTTCATTAAATCCATATTGAAAAGTGTAAATTTTTACATTTTTAATCAATTTTTCGCCTTTACCTTAATTTGAAGCATTATGAAAGGATACTAAAAAAATCAGATATCCAGATATTATGGCACTGAGGAACTAACTCTTTGTTGTGTTTCAGAAGGAAACTCCCACTCTGAGGGTCAACCTTTACCGTCGTCCCTGTGGGGTAGCGGCTACCCATCTCAGACCTCCTCTCACCCTGACTTCCCCCACACCGCTGCCTTCCACCCAGCAGACACTGGCATCTGGAGCAGCCACAGCCTAGCGCAGACCAGCCTGCCCCCTCCTTCTGCTCTTACTGACTCTTGGCACTACGGCCTGGGAGCCCAGGGTGGAGCGGGATACCCTCACGTACACGAGATGTACCCTCACATGCACCCCCGCCACCCGCATGCGCATTCCCACGCCCACCACGTGCTCCATCACACCCACAGCCCCGCTCTGGACCCCCGCTTCAGCCCGCTTCTGCTACCCGGTGTAAGAGCATCTTGCAGCCCGGCGTCCTGCGCAGACGGAATCAAAACAGAGCTGGAACCGAGTAGCATCACAAGCTGGCCCGCTTCTTTCCATGGGTCAGTGGACATCTATCATGATACAGGTGAGACAAGACGAGGGAGCAGATCAGGAATACGTACACTTCTACAGCATGGGTGCATTTACAGTGTTATGGATTGTGTAAATTATCATGGTATAGTCATTTTTGTTGGAAATAACCATGTGATTATTGGATGATTCAGTGAATTAAATACTTTACAGTCAAAAGCTACTGCATCGCATACAGTACCTTTCAAAAGTTTTGGGTCAGTAAGAGTTATATAAGTATTATGCTCAACAAAGGCTGCATTAATTTTATTAAAAATACAGTAAAAACTGTAATATTGTGAAATATTATTAGAGTTTAAAATAACTGTTTTCTATTTTAATCTATTTTAAAATGTATTTATTTCTGTGATCAAAGCTGAATTTTCAGCATCATTACTCCAGTCTTCAGTGTCACACAATCCTTCAGAAATCATTCTAATATGCTGATTTCCTTCTCAACAAACATTTATTATTATTATTATCAATGTTAAAAACAGTTGTGCTGCTTCATATTTTTTTGTATAAACTGTGATATATTTTTTCAAGATTCTGTGATAGAAGTTTAAAGTTCAAAATAACAACATTTATTTGAAATAGGAATCTTTTGTAACATTATAAATGTCCTTACTGTCAATTTTGATCAATTGTATGCATTTTTGCTGAATAAAAGTATAAATTTCTGACTGACCCCAAACTTTTGAACAGTAGAGTATATAACAAATAAATGATAAGCCTAGCATTAGTGCAAAAATAGCTTCTCATTATGAGTTAAAAACTCAAAACACTAAAAAAATTAATAGTTGTGACTCATATTGCATAATAATAATAATAATGCCCTTTAATAACTAATTCTTCATTGTCTTGACTAGTTTGAAACACATCACACTTATTTTCACATTATAATTTATTTTTGTTGCTTTTACATATAAATAATGTAAAGCAGCCCTGCCATTGATAGCCACATTTATTTATATATA